CTCCTAAGCAAGTGATTCTTCAGATGCACCCCATCTGCTTTTCCTTTAAGGATATGACGTCAGGCTCAGCGGGAACATAAGATCAGTTGGAAGATAGGATCTGTGAGAACATAGAATCAGCAGGTACAAAGGATCAGTGGGAACAGAGGGTTAGTGATCACAGAAGATCTGTGGAAACATAGGATCAGTGATAACATGGCATCGGTGGGGACGTAGGGTCGGTACGTACATAGGATCGATGGAAACATAGGATTAGTGGTAACATGGCATCGGTGGGGACGTAGGGTCGGTACGCACATAGGATCGATGGAAACATAGGATCAGTGGTAACATGGCATCGGTGGGGAAGTAGGGTCGGTACGTACACAGGATCAATGGAAACATAGGATTAGTGGGAACATAGGATCATTATGATCACATGATTAGTGGGTACGTAAGATTCACACCCTCTTATATTTTAGATAGGACAAAGTAATCAGCCGTCAACGTCTTAGCAATAAAAATTAAGATTGGATTACCATTTCTTTAATATTTGGTGAACATTTTATTAAAGCCCACACCACCAAGGCAAACAGTAGATGAGAGGTTTGGGCCTTGCATATTTTGAAAATTCACGAGAGTTCTTCAATAGCTTATAGCGTGCTCTTGTAAAAGAAAGGGACAAAAAAATCATTACATTTAAAAAAAACATCCCCAAAAAAATTCAACACGCATGAAATGACTTCATAAGTGTTAGCTGCAAACAACTCTCGAGCGGGGAATCGTCATCTGTTGGATTCCTTTTTTTATTTATGTGTATGAATTAATAGATTTATTACTGTTCGAATCGCATTTTAAAAAAATTACCAGCACAATTTTAATGTTATGATATATTTCCAAGAAAGAAGTAAATGGTAGTCCCAACAACACCTTATTATCGGGAATATTGCTAAAATGCAATGATGTGCTTACTAATTTAACAGTAATTGTCACTCGCAAGCTAACAGCTATCAAAAGTCAACAGAGCCTGCTTAAGAGGGTATTAGTGAAGGGGGGGAGGGGTTAGCTTCCGCGATTAACGGTTAATTCCCTTTCAATTTGAAGGTTGAAGCTGAAGTTTTCAATGCCTGTTACGGATGACGGTTAAATTTTATATTACGCTGTGACTAAATGGCCGGCAGCCGGGCACGGTCTTAAATGGACTATTAATTTAAAAACACACTTGTAAACTGAAAAAACTTTTTCAAGGCTTTATCATAAAATGTTTTATAGCGGTTTTTACGAGATTTCACAAAATATTGCCCAAATTTAGCCCGGTAGTGTCCGCAGTTGATGAATTTCATTAAACTACGCGTTGTAGATGCAGGGACAACTATGTTCCGCTGGAAAAGTTGTTTATGATCCTTGAATGGGTGCCATGGAAACAAACACACACCTGGATTTTTTTTCTGACTTAATAATGGTCTCTTCAATAGATGGTGACTAGCAGGAGACAAGGCCGTGTAGGCTTTTACGGAATTGAACTCCACAACCCGGTTCCTGCCCCCTTACCGCCCCTCTCCTCCTCCCTCTACCTACTCCCAGTTGATGTCTTAAGTCTAACTAGACCTTTAGATAACTGTAGATCTCACAAAAATGCTTTCTTCTTGCCTATTTCTCGCCGCCTGATTTTTCAGTGAGGTCCCCTGCCTCAAAAGTTATTGAATTAGCCGCATTTGATGGGCATACCTATCTCCCAATATTGTTGAGGTTTAATATTCTTCTAACTGTGTTCTTTATTTTCTTTTGAGGATATTGTTAAATCTGATATGTTCGAGAGCACAACGAGGTATCAAGTAGGTGCTTTAGAATAACCCAGTATTATTCTGACAAATAGGATGACCCTCTTGTCAAAGCTACCAAAAACGTCCTCAGATATTTTGACCGTGAGAAGTATGCCTTCACAATCCTCTTGTCAGGAAATGAAAGCTCTTTGTGAAAAGGGGAAATATGTTGCTGTTTCCTGCGATATGGGAACATTGACAACGGAGTCAATTGAGGTGTTACTTATAATATATCGCTTCCGCGATGTGAAGAGTAATGTTCAAAAACAAGAAAAAGGAAATTAATGTCCTTGTGAAACGTGTTCATTTTCCTTATGCTAATAAAATTTTGAACTCCCCCAACGATCATGGTTTCCTACCACACAACCAGAGCATTCTTCCACCATCGCGGGGAGTGGTTGGTTCAACTTCTCCATAATCAGTGGCATCGTGAAAATGCTACATGGAGAAAACGAGCTCACCACTGCACTCTTATTGAATAACATTATCTGGAGAATGAGAACGATCTCCTAGAATACCTAAGGTGTAATATCAAGCGTTCTCCAAAATGTGTTATTCTCTTTGCAAACGTAGGAAAATCTGTGTTGGGCGAAGTCTTTATCAGCAGGCCGGGAAATCAAGGATGTCACTGGGAATTACTCTACATCGACCTTACGACTAAAAGATATTACTACTGCGACACGTTTTGTTGTGAGGTAACGAAAAAAAAGGAGAATATAATTGCACCCTTTGTAGAAGCCATTCACAGAGAAATGGACACGAAACCTAAGCCCCTTACTGGAATGGTTGAAGCTCACTTTCGAACTTTGGGTTCAAATCACCTTTCCTCTGAAGCTGGTCTCAAACTTCTGACACATACATATAGTAATGTCTGTGGCGTGGCCGTAGTAGTAGTTGGTGCAATTGCTTATACTGCTCCCGAGATTTAGAGAAATAAATTTCTTAAAAGTCTTACCGATCTTCCAACAGGCGTGAAGTGGTTTCTGTCTCCCTTTCACAATATTCAGATTTTTTAAGATAT